ATATAAAATATAAATAAGCCAAAATAATTTTTGGTTGTTTAAATATATTTCTTCTCTTGTCTTTGTCTGACTGTCAAATTTAGATTTCATGTATGTTCACTTCTCTTTAGTCCTGTAGAACCTTACCTTGTCTTCATGAGCTCTGAGAGACAACTATTATCAGAATCTTTGTGTGTATTTTACGACACACACGAAAAAGAGAAAGAATAATAGATTTTCTCTAAACTGTGATATTTGTGCATTTTCTTTGGTTTCTGTTCTGTAGATTTTTGAATGGTTCCTAAGTCTTCCCTTGAAATCTTCTTACACTGCATCTTTCCATTTACTGTGGATCTGCTATGTGATTGTCCAGCATAAGTGGAATAAATACAGCAAATAATTTAGAAAGAAAAATGGCCTGATAATCAGACCTGGCTAGTCTTAATGGAAGAGGGAGAATGCCTAGTCTCTTTTCCCATGCTTTTTCTGGGTGTAAAGAAGATGTCTTCTTTCCAGCATCTCAAGCAGGTCTGTTCTCTGGCTGTCATGAGTCACCTTTCAATGTGTCATCTCTCCTGCTCATCCTGTTCTTTTTTATTTTAATTCAGATGACAATGCCAGTATCTGGCACCTTCTGGTTTGTTCTGATGCTGTTTGAAGTCAGTGAAAGTCATTACCCCATTGCTTCCATGAGCTCCTGGATTAGGATCTACTGTGAATCCTTTGGCACTTAATTCTCTGGCTAAAAAGAAATGAAGTGGAATTTGAGAGGTTCTTAAAAATACAGTAAGCACTCTGAAGAGATTAGGAAATACTGTGTGGCTGAGGAGAGCAGGAGGGAAAAACTAGGGCTTCTGTCCTCCTGCTTTGTCTACCTTCTGCTGGGCAAGGGATGTATTGCCTTCCTCTTAAAAAAAAATAATAATCTCACTCTATAAAGAGTTGGTGACAGAGTTAAAACCAGCTGCATCTGTCTCCAGAGTTAGATGCTGACTTGAAGGAAAATGATTTGTAGATTCTGCTAGCTGATCTGTCTGGTGCTACCCAGGCTACTGTAACCTCCAGGACAGTTTTACTCACAGACTGACAGGAAATGCAAAGTATTGATGGTTACATTTGAAGATAAATAGCTGTGTCTGTGGATGTCTATCAAGATTAAAAAAAAGCCCTCTGGATGTATGCCCAGAACTTCAGGACCTCCTTGCTTGAGACAGTTGAAGTCACAGTGTGCTCTAAATAGGGTTTATTTAAAATGGTGTGTGCTCTGGCCTTAGCTTTGGCCGAGTTGTTTGCTGCCCAGCATAGATTTTCCTTCTTCTATGTGCAAATCAACTTTTTTTTTCTTTGACATCAATCACTAGTATCAATCATCAGCAGTTACCGGGTATGATACATGTGGGCAGCACTTTTTGTTCTTCCCCCAGTCCTTGATTGATCTCTTTCCTCAGTTTTCTCTAACATTCCAGCAGTATATTTTCAGCTGCAATTTTTTTTTTTTATTGATGTACTGAGGTGGCTGACTTCTGTTCCACAGTCTTCTGTACAACAGGAGCGCTGGGGAGATAATAAATTTTAGTAAACAGCAGCATTGGTTGGGATCCAGGGGTTTTACCCAACAAATGTATTAGGAAATGTTATTCTCACTCTTGATAATATATAAAGTTGCTTTCTCTCACAAAATTACAACTACAGAAGGCAATGTAGGCTCATGAAGCAGAGCGCTACTTGTACTGTCCAGAAATAAAACATGCTTCATAGAAGTATCTAATCTTCCAATTCTGCCATCTGCAAAGGAGATGAGATGCTGGCTGGAAAACTATTTTGTCATTTTACATAGAATATGCTCAGATTTCTACTTTATTTAAATTCTGTGCAATTTAAGTAGTCTGTTACTGGCATCTTGATCCAACTCTTGCACTGTGATAGCCTGGAACTGCTCCAAATGACAACACTGATTATACAACTAAAAAGTGTGTCGCTGGGGGCTGTGCCCTGGTGGAGAATTGCTGTAGGAAATGCCGCTGTCGCCCTGCTGGTAGGCCCACTTGGTCAGGGGTGAATCCTGTCTAGCCTAGGGACCAGTTTATGACAGTACAGCTTTCCTTTTACAATGAGATCCTTTTCCTAGCCTGTTTGTTCAGCTTGGGTAATGCAAAGTAGCCTGATCACTACACTGAAATGTCTCCCTTGCTGTTAGTGTTGCATAAAAAATTAGTCTGTTCTGCTTTTGCTAATTCCTCTCATTCTTCTCAGCATTGCATTGAAAGATTGTTCTTGATGCACAAACAGGCATGTAATTATGAGTGTTCATACCCTTTTGTTCTGAATATCTAATCTATTTAAACTCTTTATTGGTGAGGTTTCTATTTGAAGCAGAGGTACATTAGGAGTTCAGTTGCTGGACTGCACAAAATGCTATCCAGATCTGATTTTTTTGTTTGTTTTTTAGCTGCTGTTTTGTTGTTTGTTTTGGGTTTTTTAAACACAGCGTTTTGAATAACATGCATGCAGTTTTCAAGAATAATTCTTATGTGAGTTTTCAGTACCTGAGTCGTTTAAACATTTATTTTTTTTTTATTGTCTGTATTACCTCTGCTGTGCTTTGCAATTACTTGTACTACAATGGTAATCTCAGTCATGGATTAAGATTTCACTGTTGAGGGATCTGTGCAAACGTATGTTGAGGGATCTGTGCAAACGTATGTTGAGGGATCTGTGCAAACATACTGAGGCTTCTGAGTAGTTTAACTCCTGTATTATTTGTTTGATCTTCAGGATCCTTACCATGGTACAATCGTGCTAGCAACTGTGAAAGGAGATGTACATGATATCGGCAAGAACATTGTGGGAGTTGTTCTGGGCTGCAACAACTTCAGGTAAGCAGACTGAAATTAAGCAGCTGGGAAGCCAACTGGCTACTTAATGTATTAGGCTAGCTGCAGCTGCACTGGTAACAGAAGTGAGCGTTTCTTGGGAATGCCCTCAGTTCTCCAAGTTGTGGTTGGGAACATAGATTGTACCAGGTATTACTAATGGAGAGGTGAGAGGGAGTTTAACTTCCTCCTTTAATACTCTGTTTTTCCTGATAAATTAGCACCTGAGGTGTATAGAGTTTATCATCAACTGAAACATAGATGAGAACATCAATTTTTGGTTTGTTTTATATTAGTTGAGTGTAATGTCTTGACCATACAACATCTGAAGAAACAGGGTACAAAACTACGGTAGGCAAGACTACGTGTGGGCTGTGTGGTGTGTTGGGGAAAAAGGAAGTCTTGTGAGATTCAAATCAACCTTTTAGTGTCTTTTTCAAGCTGTTTGCTAACTGTGAGGTTTTAAAAGCATTTTGGGGTATGTTTTGTTAAATAAGATGAGATTCTCTTCTAGTTCATGAGCTTCAAAAAACAGAACTTCAATATATGTCAGCTCTTTCAAGGCCTATGTACATGCAGGGAGGTTGGCAGCAGTGTTGGAATGAATGGTCACATTTCCATCAGAGCCCTTTGCCAAGTGTCTGTCAAGTGCTGTGCAAAGCTGAATCTGCTTTGGAACTCTGTCTTACTCTTTATTCCTTCAGTTTGCTTTTTTTTTTTCTTGTTTTTACTTGGGGCTGTAGTTTGCTCTAAAAAAAGCCAAAATGATCTCTTATTTTAAAACATAAAGGATTGAAGCCAGTAGCAGTGCTGTGTATATGCAGCATATTTTGTTTCATTATCTCCTGAAAAATCTGGCTGTTTTCAGGCTTTCTTGAACTTTGTTGATACTTACTGAACTAAAGCCATAGTGTTTTCTGTCAGCATAAGTATGAGCGAGGCTGAGTGAAGCTAGGAGGCTAGGGTGGCTTACTTGAAAGAAATAAACACCTTCGCAATTGCTAGGGTTAATAGGAATAAAAAGAGTCTCATTTCATAAAATGTATGCTTTAATAAGACAAAAAAACCCTTGATGTGAATTATCTTATGTTTCTGACATAATATGTGATGTCCACAAAACCTGATCCTGTTGTCTAAATAATTTCAGAAATGCTGCTGTTGTTGGTTAACCCTGACAGGCAGTTAAGCATCACATAGGCATTCACTCACTTCCATACAGCCAACTTCAGTGGGATGGGGAAAGAGGACAGGAAGAATAAAACCAAGAAAAAGTGATGGTGGAGATAAAAAATGTTTAATACATGAAGGAGAAGTGGAAGAAGAGAGAAAGAGAAAACAAAACAAGTGATGCAGAGGCTATCATGCCTTACCTCCTGTGGGTAGACCAATGCCCACCTGGTTCCTTAGCAAAAGATGGCTAACCCCTGCTAAACCTCTTCTTCTCCCCTTTTATTGCTGAGCATGACATCCTGTGCTGAGGAATATTTCTTTGGTTAGTTTGCATCATCTGTCTGGCTGTGTCTGCTCCAGCCTTTCTCAACCTTTTGTGCACCCCTGATCTATTCCCTGGGGGTTAGAATGAGAAACAGAGGCCTTGATGCGGGACAAATCTATAGGTAAAACATGAGTGTGTTATAAGCATTGTTTTGGTCACAGATCTAAAACACAGCATCATACCAGCTGCATGAAGAAAATTCACTCCATCTCAGCCACAGTTAGTACAATCACAAAGAAATTAGGGGGGGGTTTGTTCCTTTTTTTTTTTTTTTTTTTTTTTTAAAAAAAAGCCTCTTACCCTTGAATTTTCTTACCTACTGTATCATCTGGAACTCCGAGGTGTTGAAAATAGTGCCAGACTCAGAGGTATTTCTTATATTAAAATTCCCTACAGATGTCTTAAGAGAAACAAACAAAACCCCGAACATCTCTATTTTAACTTCCATTTTAGGCCAGTCATTTACAGTAAGAGCAATGTGTCTGCCCTTTAGCAGAAATATGACCTGTTTTTTTAAAGAATCTTGACATCTCACTTCTTTTCACAGAGTTATTGATTTAGGAGTCATGACTCCATGTGATAAGATACTGAGAGCCGCTGTTGAGAACAAAGCAGGTATAGAGACATTTCATTAGTACTCCTGAACTGTTTGATTTTTAAACCCACTCACAGTTTTTATATCGTTACTCATTGCATTCCTATATTGTCTATGATTTAATCAGACTATCTTCAGATGATCAGAACTGTTGCATTAAAAATAGTAATAATTATTTAGTATTTGGCACTTCTGTGAAACTTAGCCTGAGGAACTGAAAACCTGTATCAAAAGGAAAACTCCAAGAGAGATGTTTTAGTATTTGTTTGGATAAACAGAGAGTTGCAAAGATTAAATAACCTTGTGTTGGGCCTTAAACTGGCAAAAGAACTTGGCATTCAGCCTGCCAGATCAGTGAGTGTGAAATCAGGACCAAATTGTTCTAATAAGTAATGAACTTTCTGAAACAAGTTACAGTTGGTTTGAACCAGTCTAATGCATCTTGGAAAAGGTGAATTGTGTTGAATATTGGTAGTGAAGTTTAAAAGCATTTGCTTTTTCCAAGAGCAGAGCTTATAATTACTTTGTCTTTTTTCCCTTTTCAGTGCCTAACTTGCGAGGTTTGAAGCTTGCTAATCAGAAGTACTGTATATTTACTGCTGAAACTAGAGGTGTTCAGCAGCTGTTAAGACTCAGAAATCTTAAACCAGGGATTTGGAATCACTTTCCTTCTTGGAAAGCTTTCACTTTCTATTTAGGTCAGACCTCACTTCTAGGCTATCAACTACCCTGCTTTTTATCTCGCTGTTTTCTGTCCGACACATGAAACCATCACATGTATGAAAGAAACCTTTCTGTAATAATTCATGCGTTTTTCTAGAGTGTATTTGCTAATCCTTTTGTGTATGTTTGTTTGTAAATTTGCAATAGATATAATTGGCCTGTCTGGTCTCATCACCCCTTCTTTGGATGAAATGATTTTTGTCGCCAAGGAAATGGAGAGATTGGCAATAAAGATTCCTTTGCTGATTGGAGGAGCAACTACTTCTAAGTAAGATACTTCAGTTGGGAAGATGGGGAATCTGTATGAAAATAGTGTTGACCACGTGAAAAGGAAGTTTATATATTTCTCCCCTTCCCTCATTTTCCCCCAATGTACATACCAGGATGTATTTGTTTAAGAGTGAATGTTATTTCTTCTATCAGAAGTCCTAGAATATAGAGGTAAAATGTAATTGAAACACAACAACTAATAGACACGTGAAACATTTCATATTTGCAAGTATTCTGTATTTTGCCCGTGTATGTTTTATGTGGAAGTACTGTATTTCCTTCTAAAAGTTCACGCACATACATGTTTGAGTACAGTTCTGTTCCTCTAAGGGGTTGGATGATCTGTTTTGATTCACCAAAGCGTTCTGAGAATGCAGAGTTTGAGACTAGAAATGGTCATGCTGACATCAGGGAACTATTATCTTTAAGAAAATTAACGTGTTTTCCTGGATCACTGTTCAGTGCCATGCTGACTGGGCTGGGCCTCAGTCCTGTTGAGGGGGTAAATTCTATCTGCTTGCCTTGAAGTAGTTACCATGTTGCTTTTGATAGTCTGAGCTTTTCTGTTGAGATCTTGTTCTTTCAGATCTGTTCAGATGAAATAATACAGCTGCTGTGATGTCCTGAAGACCAGTGTTGACAGCTCACTGACACCTAGCATTAGCATTATCACAAATGTGTTTTGGGCACGTGTAACAGCCTTGGGTCATAATTTGCTAACTGGTTTATGCACAGTATGCTTGAGTAGGTGATGGCTCAGAAGGCTGCAGAGGTCCATAACTAGAAGCTGTTAGCACTGTTGCTTTCTTTAGCAGATCTGCACATGCTGTAGCAGAATGATTGTATTCTGTATTTTCGGCCTTAGCAAATTGTCCCATAATTTGACAGACAGTGAAGAGTACAATCACTACCTATCTTTACTGGTCCTGTGTTATAATACAAGGTTAACTGGATCTTATTTTCCCTTTTCTGTATGAGTCACTTTTCCTATGGCTTTGATACTTTAAGAAAGAAGAGAGAGAGAAGGGGGGGGCTTTATTTTAAGTGGAGGTCTTAAGAGAGCCCTTTCTTCAGACCTTTTTAGAGTTTATTCACAGTGTGTTAGTGGCCTACTAATTCATGTTAGATAACCAGCATCAAACAAACTTGTAGAATTCATTCGCATGAATGAATGAGATGACTGTAGCCCTCAGCAAGGCAGCCCCAGTTTTATTCTTGAGTATGGAAATTACTGAAGAATATAGGTACAATTTTGTATGCATAAGTAATAATTTTATTTGTGTGAACTGTATATAAATGTATACTTATGCATATGCCTAGACACATACAGTTCTGTAAGATATATGTCAAATAAAGGTATTTTTTAGGGAAGACTGGATTGGCAAGATATATCTAATTTTACTTCCGCAGTCTCAAGCTTAACCTTCTGTGTGGTTGTGTACATGTCAGAGGTTGATAATGAACCATCTGCACTTTTTCTCTGTAATAAGTAGACATTGTTACTTGGAATAAGGAGACCATAAGTACTTGGAAGGGTGGAAAGTGAGGTTAGTTTGGAAGAGGGGAGGCTGGATTTTGTCTACAGAATCTACATGATAGAGTTTCTTCATAACTTAAAATAATGATGATGTTTGCATTCTTACTATACAGCTTTACTAAATTCAGATGGTGAAAAATAATGGTGACAGTTTTGTTGTGGTAATGTTTATTTTTTTAAAAATAACAAAATATTAGTATGTACAAGTAGATACAGTGCCATTGTAGAACCTGTTTGTTTCCTTCTTACGTTCCTGTCAAAATAGAAGGTACAATATCTTCTTCTAAAAAATAGAGCTGCTAATACTTAAAGTGCATTGCCTAGAAGCGAAGAAAGAAGATCCTGGACAGTTGGTTACAAAGTTAGCTGTGTTGCACAGTCCTCAGTAACCTCCATGTCCAAGTGCTTGAAATACTTGACAGAACCTGAAGAAAAAGGAGATCTTTGCTGTGGAAGATTGCTTCCTGGGCTCTGATTTGTATTAATGTAAAAACCGGTGTTTGACCTTAGCATTCAAGAAAGCAAACTGAACTTTGGCTTGTGTGGTCTTTGTTCCTGCACTTGCTTGCAGTTTGCCAGGACTTTGAGCAATGTGGGTAGTCAGCTGCAGTTCACATGATAGCTTAGGCCTCAGTTTAGGACTCCAAACTATAATTTGATAAGCAAAGTTCTATAATATACAAGTGATTCTTTATGCTGAAATATTTCAGTGAGGACTGGAATATGAGTAAATGCTAAATAATTGGCTAAATTGGGAGTTTATGTGAATGGCTTGACTGACCAAGCAGGTGCAAGTTTGCATTATTTATCTGACCACTGGCCAAATAAATTCCTTCTTCAGGTGAGTAGAGGGCTTAGGCCTTGAGTTTTGAAGTAGAGCATTGTAGAAATGGAGTAATCATCACTGAAATACGTTAATGCTAATCCAGAGACACAGAAGCTAGCATGTGGGAGGGAGAAATGTAAGATGAGCAAAAAAGATCTAAAAATAAAAAATAAAAATTAGTTCTTGGTAGGCTTAGTTTGGAACAATCATCACTGAAATTTTGAGACTCAAACTATTGAGTTGCTGATTTTCAGTCAGCTGATAAGACAGTGAGGGAATGTGAGTTAGCACATTATTTATAAAGCATTCTGATACTCTTTGAAGAGAAGTATTTATATACCTGTTATTAAAATCTGTGTTTAATCATTCATGCATAACTGTCCTGGTTTCAGCACGCATCACCTCCTCCTCTGGTGACATTGCAAAATCCTTGCCCTCTGGCCAGCCCTTGATGACTTCTAGGATTCCTGGGTGACTGGGATTTGCTATTTGAGCTCATTGTGCGATCAGAGTAAGCACTACTTAGCAACAACTAAAACGTCGGTGTGTTATCAGTATTGTTCTCAGACTAAAGCCAAAACACAGCACTGTACCAGCTAGTAGGAAGGAGAAAAAAACCCAAACTGTTACAGCTGAATCCAGGACAGTAGCAGATGGATGAATTGCTTTCTTCTATTAAAGTTCTGGATTTATTTTGCTGGGATTGTCTGCTTTTTTTGTTTTATTTTGGGGTTTTTTGTTTGTTGTGACATGCTCACTCTTTCTCTTTCTCATTGGAGAACACACACAGCTGTTAAAATTGCTCCACGATATAGTGCACCTGTAATTCATGTCCTGGATGCATCCAAGAGTGTTGTGGTTGTAAGTCCTAAATTATAGCTTTTCTTCTGTGCAAAAATGTATGTCCTGTTTTTCTGTTGTGCTTAACTCTAAGATTTAATGTTACGGCAGAAAATTGAAGGGGGCACGACAAGAGACCAGTTTCTAAATTACTTGGTTCAGTTACATTTTGCTGCCACATGGTTACCTCACATGGCTTTTGTCAATTATTGTCACTGAATACCTTTGTTTAAATGCCCATTTCTCTAGCAAGCGTGGCATGATTCACTTTGAGTCCTTGATTATAGTTTTGAGATGTTTTATAGTGAAGAGCAGTGGGGTTAGATGTGAACTGCTGTTCTTTCTATTTTTTCTATATATTCTGAAGTTAATAGTACGGCAACATTAGTACTATGAAACACGTGGCTGGAGTTTTCTGGGATAGATGCTCTCTCTATCAGACAAATGGGTAGTCTTAGGTAGCAAGTACCTGCTGGAAAGACGTAGGCCAAGCTGTGTGTTGCTTCTACGACTATCCAGTCTCTAAAGTCTTGGAGTATTCTCCTCTCAGGTGTTTCCAGAGCCAGACTTGGCTCTGATAATATTAGCTGAGTGTAGGGCAGTGCTCTCAGTAATAGTCAAATTCTTAAATACATTTCGAATCTGGTTTGCAGATTAGTGATAAGGCTTAGTTTAGTGTTGTGAAGTGTAGTTGGAAGTGAGTCTGAAAGACAGATGGCTTAGCCTTAAGTTCCTACTTTGTTCTTACTATAATATGTTGCAGTATGTACTCAGTGCTTTTTCAGTGCTCCCAGCTCTTAGATGAAAGTGTAAAGGATGATTTCTTTGAAGAAATACTAGAGGAATATGAAGAAATCAGACAAGAACACTATGAGTCTCTCAAGGTACAAGTGTAATTGATTTAGCTTTTCTTCTGTGAATTGCTTGGCACTTGCCTCATTACTAACTCTCAGTTTCAGCTCCTTACCAAAACTTTCAGGTATATTTTGTTGAAATTTGAAACATGCAGAAGAATTGATGGAAAATTTCCGGAAGTGCTTATGGAATCAACTTTTCTAAGCTATAAGGGAAAATTCTACCTGAGCCTAACACGTACTTGATGATCCTCAATGGGCAATCAGTGGTATCTAGGACGTGTCCTTGAAGCTGGCAGTCGTCTCAACTTAACTAACCTACAGGAGACAAATGTATTCTTGGAGCAGTAGCTGGAAACAGGGAGCTACACTGGGATAATTAAAATGGCACTGGTTGCTTTTGCTGATACCAAGCCACACTCAATTGGGTATTTTACAACACTGTGCTTTCCTAATGTGTTCATATTGTTTAGATGAAGGATCTAAGAAGTCTCAAAAGTAGAGAGCTGAGGCTGCCATTTTAGGAAAGTGAGGAGAAGAAAGCAGTGAAATACAGAGATGGCCTGTGCAGATTAACAATAGGAAACAAAAAACATATGACTTTTCTGAGGCCAACTTTGTGAATAAACACAGAAGCAAGATGAAAGTCATCTGGCTTTTACCTGGTCTCTTTTCTAAAAGAAATGAAGCTCGAGGCCTCTTACTGAGGATGATTGGCTTGACCAAGTTTAAGACTATCTTTGCACAGGGAGCCAGTCCGTTAAGCTGAGATCAGTGAGTGCAGCACTCTCCTCTAAGCAGAAGTCAGCTGTGAATTCATGGGCCTTACTGAAGTTGTTACCAATCTCCTGTGCCTTTTTAAAGAGCCAGTGGTTTGCCCGGAGGCATGCTACAGTCAGTGGTGGTGGTGTCACTGCAAGCCTAAGCTTTTCACAGACAGTAGAATATCTTGCTGTACCTGTATTTTCATGTATTTTGAAATAATAAAGGAACTTTTTGTGTAGTTCAGGGGAACTAGAAATCTTGTAGGCCAATTTCATTAGAAGTCTACAGGAAAAAATAATGCTGTGGTTGTGGTGTAATGTTGTGAACTGGGCATTGTTGGAACTGATATTGGCTGTTGTCAGCTTTGTCCGAGGACTGTTTTGAGTAAAACTCTACCACTAAGTCAACAGTTGCTCTTGATCTGTCTGAAAGATGGCTGGCTTTGTGAAACTAACCTTTATGTCCATACAGGAAAGAAGATACTTGTCTTTAGAACAAGCAAGAAGAAAGGGTTTCCATAATGACTGGTTATCAGGCCATAAACCAGGTCAGTTTAAATGTTGTTTGTTACTGCTGTGCCTTAGATTAGGCTTGATTAAGCTTCAGGATATAGTAGTGTTACAACTCGAGTAAATTCATGTCTGTCTGAGCAGAGATTTTTTTTTTTTTTTGCATAAATTTCAACATCCTGTTTCTGCTTTTTATTTTTCACAGTATATTTAAAAAATAAATTAATAGTTAACAAAAAATTGGAAAAAAATTCCTTAAACACCATAGAATCAAAGGTAAATCTAATGTCTGCTTTGCAAAATAATGTTGGATTGGCTTTTTCTATTGCCAAGCTTACTATACCATATTTAGGGAACACGCATAGGCATTTCTATCAATTCATCCTTACTATTTACTACCCTTCCTCCATCAGTTTCTATATCAGTTTGTTTTGATTTTTTTTTTTTTAAATTAGAGACTAGAAGTATAAAGAGCATTCCACAAGAAGTTGCATCCTGCAGTGACATTAGCACTTTGTTGCATTCTGTCATTTCGTTTACAAGACTCAACAAGATGCTAATTTTCATCTTAAAGGCTGTGTTATAAAGTATCGAATAGCTCCGACAAAACAAGTGCAGAGCTTGTGGCTACATCGTAACAGTGATCCATTTTGCTCTTTCCTTTGTGTGCATGCATCAGAACAAGTGTGTGGTGGTTGCAAAAGTTCTTATAAATTACATATTAATTTACAGAACTATTCTGAGTACCATGGCACGTAATACGTCTGCGTACAGAAAGCAGGATTTGTAAATATGAAAGGTGTATGCCATGGAATATGTTTGGTATTGATAAGCTGTGTAGCTTTTTTGCTCTTCTGTTTTGGCCAATGAAATAAGTTCAGGAGTCCAACACCTAATAAGTGTTGATCTATATGAAAGAACAAAAGGCCTTAAATTTTCTATTTCAACTTTATATGCCTTTTACGCTTTAAATCCTATTGTAACCGTAGAGTAAGGCAGGACTTGGGAACGATATGACAGTGAGAATTCTAAGCCAGTTACTTTGAAAGAGGTCGTTTGCAGTGGTGGAGGCTGGTGAGCATCAGTTATGCTGCCCATATAAGAGCAATATTAAATTATTTCCATCATGTCAGATTGTCACTTTTGATTCCTACAGTTAAACCAAAATTCATTGGCACAAAAGTCTTTGAAGATTATGACCTGAAGAGGCTGGTAGAATACATTGACTGGAAGCCTTTCTTTGATGTCTGGCAACTTAGGGGAAAGTATCCCAACCGCGGTTTCCCTAAAGTCTTTAATGATAAAACTGTAGGTGAGTATTGAAATTGTGTTTGCTTCATGTAAATAATCCTAACAGACCTGTCATGCTGCATTAGGATTCTGAATGTTTTGAAATACATAGGAATAGGGAAAATACGTGGAAAGCTAGTGTCGCTGAAATAATTTGTTGAAAGCAACACTTGGTGAACCCTAAGCGTTGGCATGTGAGGCAGAAAAATAAATGGAGAAAAATGCTCAACCATCTTATTTAGAATTCACCCACAAAACCACAGGGAGGTATTCTAATGAAATAGCAACAAAGCATTTGATATATCTGTGCCCCTGTTGTGGGTGAGGATGGCAAGAGGGCTCTGTCTCCTTTTGCAAATATTCAGCTGGCCTTGAAATAAATCATAGAAATGCAAGGGTGATGCTGAAATCAGTGTTGTGGGTCTGCTGCACTGTGGTAATGTAGGTGCATGCGCATGTGCTCTGTTGTGCATTTTATTCTGCATCCTCTGCCTCTGCTAGAACGGTGCTGGCTGAAACAATTTTTTCCCAAGATAACATGTTGCTACAGCTGTATAGACATAATCACACTGCGCTATCTCTGTCTGCTGAAGCTGACAGATTGTTGCAGTCATCAGAGAATTATGTGGAAAATGAACCAATCATCTTCAGCAATTCTTAAAGCCATTTTCCTAGTTGTGAAAACATGCCTTTTCTAAAGGTATCTTTTTTTTTTCCTTTTTTTTTTTTTTTCTTTGATAGGTGAAGAGGCAAAGAGAGTTTATAATGATGCTCAAAATCTACTGGAAAAGTTGATTAATCAAAAGAGATTACAAGCCAGAGGTGTGGTTGGGTTCTGGCCAGCTCAAAGTGTCCAAGATGATATCCATTTATATGCTGCAGAAGAGGCAGTGGGATCTTCGGAACCAATAGCAAAATTTTATGGCTTGAGGCAACAGGTACTGTGACAAAATATTAAATAAATAAAGCAATTTCCTCTGCCAATCCTCCTGAATTGCAAGACTGTAACAGAAATGCTCTATTAAAATCTCTGCAGAAAATGGTTGTTGTGATCTGTCTGCAGATGCTGTCTTGCCATTTCTTTCAGTAATAACAAGATCTTGTTAGTGATGACCCATGTATTTGTATTGTAGTAACTGTAATATTTGGAACTGTAGTAGTTGTACAAAATGCTTTATAGATTGGACATCTTCAGATACGATGTGCATTTTCTGGCTTCATTTTAATATTTAAGGTGTCCTAAAGCACTATGCTTTATAAATTCATCACATGGACCCTGTGTACTAAATTAGAATCTAATGAACCTCAATTTTGTAATATCCCTGGATTCTGCCTTAGATGAGAAATTCTTCTTGAATGTGTAAAGGTTAAAAACACAATTAAAATACCTGGAAAATAAAGCTTAGTGGAGAGAAGTGTTTTTGATAGTCTTAATTTTTATGTGAAATCCCCCATATGAAGAGGCAATTTGGAATTGCTTAGCTGGCTGTTAATTCTGATTGAGAGTTGTTATTGTCAGAATTCATGCTTGAGTCATACTTACCTAGATTTGCATTTATTTTGATAAATTGAACATTTTGAAGGTACTCTGCCTCTCATTCTTCCCTAACTTCTGACTTGGCTTCTTCATAGTTCACATATTCAGAGCCATCAAACATGGCAGAAACAAATGTAACAACTACCTAAATATCTGGAGTACAGTATTCTGTAGGGACAGTGCTGTGCAAATGCTGGAGAGCAGTACTAAGAAACACATGACTTCAAGTTTATCTGTTCCAGGGAACTGGAATGGGTTATCTGTTGTATGGAGAAGGATCTAGTGTATCTTGACAATCCATGGCAGATGTTTATATAAATTCTTCTCATAAGCATCCAGGCAGGGCTGTTCCAGGGCCTTACCACATAGTTAAACGTTTTGATATCCCACGTAAATCAAGTTTACTACAGGTTCTTTTCCTGGCCTTTTCCCAGGGTTCTCTCAAGGAGAGATCTGATTTACTGTTGTTCTTGTAACAATCTTTACTATTGTAATACTGTTACTTTCATTAGACTTTTTATATTTCAAATTTATTCAGGCTTTTCTCAAAGATTAAGTTCATGAAACTTGTGCTATCGTGGGTACTGTTCTTCTGGACTCCACATATTTTAGCCGCATCTCTTTCAATTTGGTGTATGTAGTAAATCACCAGAGGCTTCCGCAGAGCAAAGCTGAAGAGAATAATTGCCTCCTGTTTCACATATTAAATGTTCCTTTCAGTACACAGTTCTCTCCTTGACACTAACACTATTAAGGATGTGATGTAAGTGTAAAAGTTGGAGATATTTTCCTTAACTGTACTCCTTACAAAAGAACCTTAAAACTATCATAGATCTCACCTGTGGAAAAAAGCTATTTATTTCTTCGGTTTTATGGTACATAGATTCATTTTGTTTGCATTTGCATGTGGCTGGTGTAAACTTACATCCTGGGGCACTCTTTGGTCTGGATTACTGAGCACATGGTTTGAGCATAAGAGATTAGGAGTGTTTATAAACTTTCACAGACATTCTAAAATGAGAGTTGCTGAAGAATTCTGCAGTTTGCAGTTTGAGATGTGAATTACCAACCATCAGTTTTGCTAACAAATGTGGAATCTGTGAGTGCTAAAGATGGAAAATCCCTCCTCTTTCCCAGCAGTTAGCACAAGTGTCCCATATTTTGTAATAATTTGTCTGCAGAATAAGCTGTTAAATCTTATCAGCTGTGAATATAAGCAAAATATCTCTGTGTGTTCAGCACAGCAGCCCTCCTCTGACATTTTATTCTTCAGTGAACCAAATGCCCTTAGAGTAAGTGAGATGTTTTTCTTCTAATTCGTGTGCAAGAAAGCCATCATGGCTCAAAGCCTAGTTAGGTGTTTGTCAGAAATATCTTAAGCCCTTAGTCTTCAAAATACTGGTCTTTAGATTAAAAATGCACTAGTACTTTTAAAATGTTCTCATTTATTGAGTTGGTTTTGTTACTTTAGGCTGAAAAGGATTCTGCCTGCACAGATCCATATTACTGCCTCTCTGACTTCATAGCACCACTGGATTCTGGCATTTGTGACTACTTAGGCCTGTTTGCTGTGGCCTGCTTTGGTGTAGATGAGTTATGCAGTGAATTCAGGAAACAGGATGATGAATACAACATCATAATGGTAAAGGCTCTTGGTGATCGGTTGGCAGAGGTATGAGGTTTTATTATGTGTTTCTTGGCAAATTTTCTAACTGTGTGCTAGATTTGCTGACAGTTTGGTGTTCCAAGTTCTAACATAAACTTAAACTGTTGCCTGTGATGTATGCTCTGCATTAAATCTGAAAGTGAACTGGTTCTGCTGAAATTGTCTCAGGAGGAGAGTCCTGTTCCGAGCCAGAGGGACTCTGCTGTCCGTATCTTCCAGCTGCAAAAGCATCTTTGAGCTCTTTAGGAGGGTTTTGATGATGAATACAATTTAGTCAATTTTAAAACAAGATTGTTTAAAAACTACCTTTAAATCTTGTTTTACCTACATGAGAATGTGTTTGGACCCAAGTGTGACCCACTGATTATGTTCTTGAATTACAGACATGCCTTTTGCTTTTAATGGTGACCATGCAGGTGGTCTTTTGACTTAACTTGTCCTAGGCTTAGACAGCCATGCTCCTAAAGCCCTAACTGGAGTGGTTTAGAAAGTGATGTCCCTTTCCTCCTACCACTTTATCCCCTTCTGCCTGCCCCCATGCTTACATCTAAATAACTGTGTTAAAACTTACATCAGCTTTGGTGCAGTGCAAATGGGGCTAGCTCTAGTTGTGTAGTTCAAGCTATAAGAGTTACAGAAATTATTATCATTAGATGCCATCTGAAGTTATTTACTGAAGCGGAGATTTCTCCTGAGGGACAACCATTGCTGACAAAATAGTGTGAGCTGTAAAAGCAGTTAAGAGACACTGTTACCTACTTTCAGCTAGAGGAAAGGTCCTCTGCTAAAAAGAGCAGGGGCATGTACTTTTCCTCTGGTGCTAGCATGAATGCACGAATGATGTGGTCTTCCATAGCTAGATCTGGACAAGATACCTAGGCAGACAGGACCTAATGACTTCAGTACTATAAAGATGCATTGCTACCACAGGCTAATGAACTCCATCTTTTCTGGTTACTTGTCCAGGTATTTACCTCTTCGAGTATGTAGGATTTTAAAGCAGGACAATCAAAAAAACACTATCGCCTGACAAGAGAAAAAAAATAAATACTTGAATAAACAGAATATGTATTGTATGTGAATTTTAATGCTATCAAATTTCTCACCTATAATAAGAGTTCCCCTTAAAAATTAAAATAGGAATGGCGAGAAAGTCTCTGTCGTTGTTTGTCTTCACGAAATAGCTATTGCATCCCTCTGCACAAATTAAAATAAAAAAACCCCTTTGCATTCCATTCCAAGGCATTTGCCGAGGAGCTCCATGAAAGGGTGCGAAGGGAATTCTGGGCTTACTGTAGTACTGAGCAGCTGGATCTCTCTGACCTACGCAGAATTAAATATGTGGGAATTCGCCCTGCCCCTGGATATCCAAGCCAGCCTGACCATACAGAAAAACTCACCATGTGGAAACTTGCAAATATTGAGGAAACAACAGGTACCTCTGCCTGCCTTACTAAGATTCTTAAACTGTTTTTATGCAAATGAAAGATTGAAATGCCAACAAACAGTGAATTGGGTAGTGCAGACGTACATAAGCACCCAAAGTGAGGTGGTTCTGGGAGTTGCTGTCTTCCCCTTTTCACTGCTGTTTATATTTTGCCTTATTCAAGGAGAATTTGCAAAATAGTGCCAGTGCTTTTGGTGAAGGAGTTATGTCCCTAATTACCAGATTGCATGCAAACAGGGTTCTGCTGCACAGATAAAATATCTAGCATCCTTATGGTTGCAGGAACACTTCCCAGATACAAGCAGGGAAAAAAGCCAATTCAGCAGTGTATTTTCTGGTCCACAGAAACCTTGAGATGGTAACCCTTAAAAAAGGAATGTATTCCAGTTGTTTTCTTTTCATATTTTACATTTCAAATATTTGACTACTACTTCCACAATTCCAAAATACCTTCTTGTGTTTCAAAGCCTGTAGTTACCCATTTCATTTACCAAAATGTCTTAAGATACTGTACAGTTACTCTGTAAAAATACTGTAATGAAAATCTGCAATATATTTAAAGCTGTATCTTGAAAATGGTTTTGGTTTTAGGTCATCTGAAAGCTGCTTGGCTTCTGAGCAGCTTGCAGCTGCCCAACAAAAAAGACTCTGAATTTATGCTTCTTATCAATTCAGAGAATAAGAAAATTCTCATTCTCTTTTCCAGGAATTGGTTTGACTGAATCACTAGCAATGATGCCTGCTTCTGCAGTTTCTGGCCTCTACTTTTCCAATCCCAAATCCAAATACTTTGCTGTTGGCAAGATATGTAAAGATCAGGTAACTTGCACTGTCCATTTTGGTAGAATTACAGCATTCAAAAACACCCTTATGAGCAGATGTCCCAAAAAATTGTGTAAATGGTAAAAGCTGGAGTTTCCAAATCTCATCATGTTTTGTGGTTCCTTTGCAGGTTGAAGATTATGCACTGAGAAAAAATTTGTCTGTGACAGAGGTGGAGAAATGGCTGGGACCCATTTTGGGATATGATACTGAATAACTGTGACACTTGTGGGCGAACATTTGCCTTTGATGGTCTTTTTGTCAGAAGGAGCAAGAAATACATTCCCACTGGAAACAGATTTCTTCCATCCATCCCAGTAGCTTGTCTGATTATTTTTAATTTTTGATCAAGGAACTTAATATTTCAAATGTGCCCTGTGCTCTTGCCTTGGGACCATGAACGCATTGCAGAGCTCTTAGGCATAGCAATAGGCTTTTATTTATTTTTATTTCTTGCACAAATACTCCACCTGAGCAGCTATATGTAGGGCGAGATGTGGAAACTGCAAAACTCTCCTGTCCTCAGGCAGGCTTTGAAAGCAGGAGCAAGAATTTCTATCCCATATAGATATATGGATGTACATAGAGCAGAATTTGACTTCTGATATATTAATGTCTTTTGGCAAGTCCATGTGCAGAAATATGATACGATTTTTGTGTAAAGTCTGTGTGAAGGTTTTATACTGAGTGATGAGAACAACTGAGTAACAGATCTCCTTTTTGAAAATCTGTCTGCTCCATGTTTGGGTCTTGTGATTGGGAACGTAGGTGGTGGTTCTCTCTGAATAATATGAGACTTTAAATTACTTCGTGGTTGTGATTGTAGTTAGAACTGTCACAATAATGCTGGAGCAACACCAGAGATGCTGTATTATGATAGAATGTGGAATGGAACTGAGCCCATGGAGTTGTCCATCTCGTGCTTCCTCTTCCTTCCACAAGCCACAATCTGTTTCTACTCTGTGTAAAGGGTAATGGCACTTCCTACCTTACAGTTACGTTGTGAAGCTTAATTCGTATTTAAACAGTCTTTTGTGCGTGAAAAATATCAGAGAAGCTTAATTGTTACTACAGACAGACAGAAAGCTTGGAGCTGACTTCAGTATTACAAACTAAGCTTCTGGGTACCTGGATTTTAGAAGTAAATAGTAGCAATACTGCAATAAATAACAGCTAGTACTGGAGGCTTATTCTTCATCTTTACCTCTGAGCAAGCTAATTGTTTGTAGCTTTTAATAATCTCTGAAAAGTGCCTCATATTATTTAAATGCAAATTTAGTAAAATACTATGACAAAACCCCCTCATTTTTCTGGTCTCTAATTGTAAAGAAAAGAGCAATATTATAAAGAGAATGTTCTTTTAAATAGTTTATCTGTGATCTATTAATAGCTGTATAATTTTTGTAATGTCTTCATCTGATTTATGCTAAAAGAATCATCTTGTATCAATAGATTAATAAAGGTTAAGCTGTCAATGGTGTTATCCTATTAGAATCCTTTAAATGGCAACAATAAAATGTGTGCAATAGTCTGAACAGATAATGTCAAAATTAATCTGCACATTGTACCTTGAATCTGAAATGATAAAGGCTGCTTTGGGGCTTTTAAGGTAGTTGAGAAAGTGTGTTCTTAACTGAGTGTTTTAGAATATCTCATCCTTTAATGACATACAAAAATAATTTCTAAGTGGATGTCTCCCACCCTCCCACCTCCCATCCATGTCAAGGGACTTGAGACATGTCCTTGTTCATCAACTGATTCTCATTGTTGGAATGGTTCCTCAGAAGAATGCTCTTTTCAATGCCAAAAATAAAGTAAAAAGGCTTAATACAAAGGAAAATTTGTTCCTGAAATATGTAGCCTGTAAAAATTGAAATCCTCTTTGCTTTCTTTTTGGTACTTGCACTTTGGCAAATCAATTCAGTGCTTGGAATATCTCCTCTCCACCACTCTTCCACATTCCTGTACTTGGAAGCAGGGTGCCTCATTAGTCTTGAAAACTTGATTGTATGAATGAGGTCAAAGCTTGGCTTGTACAGCTTGGTTGGTTTGTTGGTTTATTTTCCTGAAATCAGGAGCACGTAGTTCAGTGAGTATGGCTTTAGCAGAACCAGACTGACAAAGCAGTAGGTGCGCCTGTGCCTAACAGTGGTGCAGTTACCTTGAGTACAAGCAAAGGGTTTCAAATGGTGTGCAACTACTAAAGTAATTAGTGTGTCCTTTCACACACCGCATCATACACTGAGAAGGATCTTTGTCTTTGTTTGTCATGGTGGGAATCTGTTTGGAATAATTACTCATCGGGTTTATGCCAGTGTTTTTACCAAGGGCAATTTCTTTAGAAGTTTATTACTTTCAATAGTCACTTGACACTCTGGGTAAGACAAATCTTAGTTCATCTTCAGAAAAAAGGTAAATTGTGAAGGAAAGTTCATAGTTCTATCAGGTAATACTGTTACTTCCATGGAATGATACTGAAAAGCCATGGTAAGAATATACCTCTGTGGGTAATGAAATGGAGTGGATACTGCCCAGGAAAGACTGACAGTTTTACAATGCATGAAAGATTTTTTTGCAGTGCATTTATTGCCAAGTACTACTAACGAAAGTACAGGATGTCAGAGATGATTAAAAATTAAGAATGCTTTGTAAGCAATTCTGGGTCAATTCTTGTGAATAATTTACTGATTGATACTGTTGATTCCCCTCTCCTCCCCCCTGCCCAAGCCAGGCCAGCAGCCCAGAGATTAAGTTTTGAGGCACATACTTTAACTGATGGGTGTCAGGAGGGAATGCTATTCCTGAACCTGCCCCTGCATTATGAAGTTTGTTTCAGTGCTGCTGTTACTCCTGCAAAGGTTCTAATGCAGTTTATTTTGGGGTGAGGGTGCTACCATAGGTCAGGTAAAAAAAAAAAAAACAACCCCATCCTGACATTTGTTTGTTGTGTGAGCATTTGAGCATTATTTTTTTTTTTAAGAATCTTTTGCTTTCTTATTCAAGATGAACTTCAGTACACCCTTTCAGGTGATTTCTGCTCCTTAAAATACAGGTGGTGTCTAGTATCTAAGGGAAATACAGACATTTGAGGGTCTTGCTTTTTTGAAAGGGGCAAGTTTACCTAGTAACTGAGATGGGCTTTCATAGAATGCCTTTAAATCTTTGGCTGATTTACCTGAACATGACATGAAAAAGTGAATCTAGCCTGTTAAAAGAGTTTGAAGAGCAAAAAAATAACTAACTTCATGAATTAGTTCAGGAGGGTGATTCCATACAGGAACAGCAGCATGTTGTTCTCAGTCACAGGAGAAATAATTCATGTGCCCTCAATTATCACAGCCCTGTTATGGCAAAGCCTGTGAAGCCCCTCTACAAAGTCTCATCGTTTAATTGTCTGGCTTCTGTAGGTGCCAGTTTTCAAGTTAAGATACGCTGCAAATAGAACAGAAGCAGGTGTATCCTGCGTTCACACATCGTTTGTGTGGTGTCCAGCTAAAGGCAGAGCCGATAAGCCAGTGCAGCAGCCTCCCTGTTTGTTTGTTCTATTAATACCACTGGGGTTGACTACCCTGAGCTACCCTCGAGCCAGGACAGCACAGGTGAGCTGGTGGTTACCCCTCTGGCCTGCAGCTGCAGTGACAACTGCAAAGTGGAAGGCCTTGGTTTCTGCTCCGCGGCTGTAGTAGTGGTGTGGCCTGTGCCTGAAGCTCCTGAGCAGGCTAACAGAGAGTGTTCTCTTGCCAGAGTGGTCACTGCTAGTCCTTCCTTATAGATGGAGCATGAAATAAGTGAACAAAGTGGGGAAAGTCTGGGTGACCTCATCTTCATTCTTAGGTCACGTCTTTTCTGCCCCCATCTCCCTCTCAAATCAGTCTCCTTTTCTTCAGGAGAAGACCACGAGATGTGTTAAACAATTCCCTATGTCTTAACTGCATGTTCAGTTACGTGGTGGTTTTCATCTAGATGGCAAAACCAAAATATGTGTTAATTGTATACTTCATCAGTGTACTGTTTTAAGTCCACAATTAATAATAAGCTAATAATAATAAACCTAACGTCATTTTCAACTGAAGTCTGGTATAAATTGTTAAGGTGAAGTAGGGAATTTGTCTGTGCCTTCCTACTATAACAAATGCTTTTAAAATACTTCATAGTTGATGACTTAATTATTTTACGATGAAAAATTTATCTTGAGTACAAACTCAGGTTCCAAGCTATTAATCACTTGATTTAAGAGGCTTAAGCACTGCTGTCTAGAAATAGCCAATAAAACCATTTAGTTAAGAGACTGGAAAGTTTGCTGCACTACTTGCAGAAATTTCTGTGCATGCAGGATTACCTACATGTAACAAAAGAAGCCAGAGTGGTGTGGGATTCACAGGGGGTAACTTCATTCTTTAGAGAGCAGCTGGAAGATTTATGAAGTAGAGTTACGGCAAGCATAGGTCTCAAAAAGACAGATGTTCTTAATGTCAGCATTACATTGAAAGGAAACATAGGCTGAAGCCTCTACCTTGGGCCACGTTATCAGAGTATAAGAAACGTAATTGAGAACGACTTTCAAGGAGCTTTCCTTAATCTAATGCATGCTTGGGATTAAAGACTTAAATTTGTGTGTTTATGAGTGAGAGAAGGAGAAAGAATTCATTAGATCATGAACGTGTTGTAGGGTTAAGTAACAAGCTGCTTTGAAAAGCACTTCTTGGGTGTTGACGGTATCATTACCTAGATGCAAGGTTTCTACAGATTTTTATGTTGGCAATGGTGTACCCCAAGTCTGGCAGAATACTGTGATACTTGAAAATTAAACATCCTCCTTTTTCCAGTACTTTCAGAGATGTTAAAACTCTGTGTCAGCTCTGTACGTGCACATAGATGTTAGTGCAATTTCGACCCAAGAATGGCTTCAGTCTAGTAGATAAAATAGCACTGGGTGTGTACCTGTAATGGTTGGGGGTCTTTTTTCCTCACTCAAGGTGTTCATTAAAGATCAATTATTTTTTTGTATGTAGCACCAGCTACTAAGAAGGAGAAAAATGACTGCTACAGCTGAACCCAGGACAGTGGGAGTGCAACTTCCATCGGATGTTTTGTTCTTACTTTATGCTTTCATGTACTTGGTCTGCGCTCTTTTCCCCTCTCCAGCTCCACAGTACAGGTATGGAGATGTAACTCAGAGTTCTCCAGTGGGCTGTGAGTGCTGCAGGTTGCATTGTTTGTTTAATTGAAAACCTACATATTATTTTTATTTTGAATTTAAGCAAGG